TATCTGTCCAGGAAGATCATTACTTAGAACAAGAGGAGGAAAGTTCTGAAGCAAATGACAAGATGAGCATGCAAATGAAGAGCTGAAGACCTTCAGAGAGCAAATGAAAGACCTTTACGAAAAGCTGGAAAGCATCATTTGTTCTCAAAACCAAATTATCTCCCTTGAACCAAAAGGTCCTGATCACTGGACAAGAGCACAGGAGGCTGAAAGAAACCTCTTCATCTCAAGACAAAACATTGCAGATATGAGACAAACAACAATGGAAACAGTGAGCTTCTAGAAGTGGCTCCTCATGCATCTGATGATCCAGATGGAGAATTTTCCAGGGAGCATTTGCAAGCCCTCATCTCTGGGCATGGGGTGCTGTTTCTTCTGAGATAGGAGGGTCTCAACACCCTTCCCCTCAGACCCTCTCCTTGGCTGCCAGGCTTTCTTCCTCCATTCCCAAATCTGGTGTTTCCAATACATTCAAACAGGGAGTTCCTGACAAGAAGACATCTTCCTCCCTGTATTAGTCAGGGATCTCTAGAGAAACAGAACCAGTAGGCTATACATACATATATAAAGAGATTTATCTCAAGGAATTGGCTTATGCAGTTGTGAGGGCTGGCAAGCCTGAAACCTGCAGTGCAGGCCAGCAGACTGGAAACTCTCAGTCAGGGGCTGAGACTATAGTCCGCAGACTATATAGTTTTCTTCCTCAGGGAAATCTCCATTTTGCTCTTAAGGCCCTTTGACTAATTGGGTGATCATCAAGGATTGTAGAGATTAACCACATCTACAAAATACCTTCACAGTAACGCCTAGATTAGCATTTTGATTGAATAACGGGTATTATAGCCTAGACATAAAACAAATAAAACTAACTGCCTCCCACGCCAGAAGCCTGGATGAAACCCTCAGGGATGGCTTTCCACTAAGAGATTGCTGTCCTTCTTATCTTCCCTCATGGGCTGGGTTTTTCTCTGGACATTCCTGTCCATGAAATGGAAGGACGTTACCTTCCAGGTTCTTTGAGCCTGAAAGTAACCCTTCTTTCTACTCAAACCTCTGAAACACTGCAAGACCATTTCATTTTTTTTCTTCAAAGTTATTTGAAAATTATCTACATTTTTTAAGTTAAAAAAAATTTTACAACAATAAAGAACAATCCAACTGAAAAATGGAGAAGAAACATTTCTGCAAAGAAAATATACAAATGGATAATAAACACATGAAAAGATGCTCAACATCCCTGATCACTAGGGAAGTGCAAATCAAAACCACAATACTTTTCACCTGCTAGGATAGCTGTAATTAAAAAGAGAGACAATAACAAGGGTTGATGAGGATGAGAAAAACTGGAATGCTCACGGATTGCTGGTGGGATTGTAAAATGGTGCAGCCACTTTGGAAAATATAGTTTGACAGTTCCTCAAAATGTGAAACAGTTACCACATGATTCAGCAATATCATACCCAAGAGGAATAAAAACATATGTCCACCCAAATACTTGTACACAAATATTCATAGCAGTATTGTTGATAATAGCTAAAAGGTAGAAACTGAAAATGTCTATTAACTAATGAATGGATAAATAAAACATGGTATAGAATGTTATTCATCAATAAAAAGAAATGAAGTACAACCCTCCATACCAGCAGGTTCTGCACCTGTGAATTCAATCAACTACAGATCAAAAATATATTTAAAAAAATTCCAGTAAGTGCCAAAAAGCAAAATTTGAATTTGCCTAGGGAAGGCAAATTTACGTAGTTGTAAAAACACATTGTATTTGCAACTATTTACACAGTATTTACATTGTTTTAGGTATTATAAGTAATCTAGAGATATTTTAAAGTATAGGATGTGTGGGGCTTCCCTGGTGGCACAGTGGTTAAGAATCCGCCTGCCAATGCAGGGGACACGGGTTCAAGCCCTGGTCTGGGAAGAGCCCACATGCCACAGAGCAACTAAGCCCGTGCACCACAACTACTGAGCCTGCACTCTAGAGCCCGTGAGCCACAACTAGCGAGCCCCCGTGCTGCAACTAATGAAGCCCACTCGTCTAGAGCCCGTGCTCCGCAACAAGAGTAGTCACCACAATGAGAAGCTCGCTCACCTCAACGAAGAGTAGACCCCACACCGCAGGTAGAGAAAGCCCGCGCGGAGAACAAAGACCCAACACAGCCAAAAAAATAAAATAAAATAAAATAAATTTAAAAAAATAAAATAAAGTATAGGATGTGGATGTGTGTAGGTTATATGCAAATATTATGCCATTTTATTAAGGGACTTGAGCACCTGAGGATTTTGGTGTGTGTGTTTTGGGGAGTCCTGGAACCAATTCCCCACAGATACAGAGAGTCAGCTGTACTGATACCTGCTACAACATGGATGAAACTAGAAAACATTAAGTGAAAGAAGCAAATCATGAAAGGTTACATATGTAATGTCCAGAATAGGCAAATTCATACAAAGTAGTGGTCGGCAGGGGCTGGGGAGAAAGGGGATTGAGAGTGACTGCTAGAGGATACAGAGTTTTGTTTTGTTGTGTCTTTTTGCTGGGCTGCATGGCATGTGAGATCTTATTTCCCCAACCAGGGATCGAACCCGCACCCCCTGCAGTGGAAGCGCACGGTCTTAACCACTGCACTGCCAGGGAAGTCCCAGGATAGAGTTTTGCTGGGCAGCGCCCCACAGGCCTACAAGGCCTGTGTGTGCCCAGCTTCAAGACTGAAGAAAGAGCCCGAAGTCATCAACAGAGACATCGATGGTTTAATGGATGGGGGGGCTTACACGTCCGAAGCAAGGTCCAGGAGTGACACCCCACTACGCACGGCAGATGGTGGGCAGGATTTGGTGGCAGTCTTCTCCCGAGGTAAGGGAAGATTACCAGTTATAGGGGAATTGATGTCAGGTGGGCTCATTTGTTACCAGGGAAACCAGTATCACTGCCCCTTTTATAAGAACAATTACCAGCTGGGGCCTGGGGCGAGTATGTAGGAAGGTCAGTCATTTGCATAGGGTTTAGGTGAAGCAGGCACTGGTCTGGCAGGGGATTCACAGAGAGTAAGAGAACAGCCATCTTGAGTGACCTGGCCATACAAGTTTCTTTTTGGGGTGATGAAAATGATCTGAAACTAGATAGCGGTGATGGTTGCACAACTTTGTGAATATATCAGAACAGTGAATTGTATACTTTAAAAGAGTGAATTTCATAGTATGTAAATTATATCTCACTAAAATTATCTTTTTGTTTGTTTGTTTTTTTGCGGTACGCGGGCCTCTCACTGTTGTGGCCTCTCCTGCCTGCAGAACACAGGCTCCGGACGCGCAGGCTCAGCGGCCATGGCTCACGGGCCCAGCCGCTCCGCGGCGTGTGGGATCTTCCCGAACCAGGGCACGAACCCATGTCCCCTGCATCGGCAGGCGGACTCTCAACCACTGCGCCACCAGGGAAGCCCACTAAAATTATTTTTAAACTTTTACATAAGAGGTTTTGCTCCAGTTGCATTTTGATATAAATTTCAGAATTTTTTGATAAATGGAGATAATATAAGTTATTCTCATTATATTATACTCTCTAGAAAATGTAAGTAGTAAATTTGAATTTGATAAGCCAGCCCACTATTCTCTAAATATATTATCCATGAGCTGTTCATCCACCAGAGACATTTGAAATAGCAAAATACTTTTCTCTCTGCTAATGGCTCTATGTACCACAGTTACAACAGAAATGTAAAAGTTAACTTGTTGGCTTGTTGGTCTCAATACATTGTAGTTAATTAAACAGCCTCTCAAAGCCAGTACTGCTGAAGCTGTTTCCTACTATGCTCTCAGCACTTCTCACTTGTCAATCCACACCCTTCCCACCCATCTGCACAGCTGTGAAGATTAAAAACAATCTCAGTAGTAATCATCATAGCTTCAGGGGTCTATGAAGCCCCAGGAATTATATGCAAAATGTGATGTGTGTGTATTTTTTCCTGGGCAGCGTATACAACATTTATCAGCTTCTCAAAGAGGGTCATTGACCAACATTTTAGAGATTTATGTCAGGTCATGCTGCGTTTAGATTCTGTAGTGGCATCTGTGGTTTTAGTTTGCCAAGCATCCTTTCCCCTTTCCCTTTTTTCTCGTCATAGCGCCCCCCTCTTTGGTTGGGGAGTGGGGAGACCTTTCCCTGTATTCCACACTGATGCTCGAAAATCTTCTCTTTCCATCTGTTACTAAATCCAGAGAATGTCATCTGGGAGCTGTCTGCACTGTTCCCCTGCCCCATCCCTCTTTGAAGGAGCCACCAAGGGGAGCAGGGAGAGTAGGGAAGAGTGGCAACACCCAGATTCCCTGAGGCCAGCTCCACCCTACCCTCCCTCCTTTCCATCTTTCTGCAGTAGCAGCGGCAACTGTAGTCTGCAGAAGGTAGGGGTGGGACATTCCAGACAGACACAAGGATGGAAAACAGCGTGGTTTAGAACTGATTCCTGGGGCTGCACGGAGGGGATGAGCTCAGAGGCAGATAGGATCAGCCCTGGTGGATCCCCCAGCAAGGCACGCACTGCATGGAGGTCCGAGGCACCGGGTTAGCTTGAGGTCAGGATTACAGAAAACCAGGAGCAAGACAGGGAAGCTTAAACAGCCAAACTGTGCATCCAGGACTGGGGTGATGGCAGGTCAAGCCCGGCTGGAGGAGGATTGAGCCCCGCCCCCAACCGAGGGAGGAGGGCTGGCTTCGCCTCCCACCGGGAATCTGAGCAATGCTAGTCCAAGACCACCTCTGAATCACAGATGACTTGTTATCCAGTGAACTGAAGGTCAAATAGGGGATCAGTAGATGGGCCTGGAACTGGAGAGAAAGGACCACTTTCTCTAGGATCTATGTGCCCCCTGTCTTTGACACCCCCTTCCGGTTTCCACTGGTAGCACCTTCCTGATCCCCTTATCTCCAAGGCGCTTAGGGAAATGTCCCCCTGCAGGAGCCTTCTGGGACATGCTCCTCTGGCCGCCCTGGAAACATGAGCCCTGCCGCTCCGGTAAGAAAGAGATCTCTGGGACAGGAGAAAGGGTCCAGGGCAGGGTGGGTTCCGTTCTCAAGGGATCTTTCAGGCCCTGACAAGCTCTATTCTCTGAATGACATCCTGGGTCTGCTCCTAGGTGGGGGTTTGTAGGACTGAGCTATTCAAGGAAATGATCCTGGAGGAACAGACTGTGGTGGTAGATAGAGAAACAGTCTTCTTTCTCTAGTTGGGCCCCTTTCAATCCATTTTTGACTGTCCTAGAAATACCTTTCCAACCCATAAATTGAACCACCTAACTCCTCACCTTGAAACCCGCAAGCCCAAGCTCCAGTCACTATGTCATAATGCCCAAGCTCCTGAGCCTGTCATTCAAGACTTTCATGTTATATCCTTGCAACCCCTGCAGCTTCATCACCTGCTGATCCCCATGCCCTCCCCACCCCCACCCCTGCACTCTACTTTCCAAACACGCTGAAATACTGGACACTCATACTCATCCTTCAAGACCTCTTTCAGCCTCCTCTGGGAAGCCTTCCTGAACCTCTTGGTCAAAGTCAGAGTCTTCTTTCCCACTGTCAAACCATACCCTGTGCTTTAATTGTGTGTTTATGTTGTCTCCTCCACCTGACGGGAAGCTGGGAAAAGAAGAGGAAGGGCCATGTCGGATGCTTTTTTATGCCCTCCACTAACGCTCGGTGCCAGGCACAAACTAAGTATCAAGAAAACATGGCAAAGCTAGGAGCCTGGTTTCTCCTTGTAATTTACATTTTTCTAGAAAATTAGAGCTCAAGATTCTTGGGAAAAAAGTATTTCATGATAAATGAATGAACAAAATAATGACTTAATAGCAAAATAAAATCGCAGGTGCGGCCTCTCACCTGTGCTCCGGTTGGGCACAGGGCTACCACCCACGAGAGATTACCCATATCTAGGCCTGCAGACTACAAGTCCCAGAAGGCCACCTGTCGCACATCTCTACACGCCCCGCCCCCTCCCTGGTGGCGGGGCGGGACCGGAGGGCGGGGCCCCGAGGCAGCTAGACCCCGGGCGCAGCCTGGGGAGTGAACAGCCCCGGGCGCTCTGGGGCGCACAAAGCGCAGGCGCAGCGGGTTGGGAGGCCGCAGCACCAAGTAGCGGCCGTTTTGGCAGCAGCGTCGCAACAGGTGTAGACAGGTGGGTGCATCAAGGGGGGTTGGAGAGGGAGTTTGCACCTGGCCGTCTTATCTGACCTGTGTCTGAGCCTGAAGATGGGAGGGAGCAGCAAGAGAAACAGGGACAAGCCCGGGCCTTCCAACCCAGGTGTGCCAGCCAGCCCTTGCTGCGCAGCAACAGGTGTGAGCTAGTGGGGGAGGGGCGAAGGCACCAGCTCAAAAGTAAGCCGCGCTCAAGAACAGAGGGCACCTGGATTCCAATCCAAGCTCCGTCACACACATGGACAAGTCACATGCTATAGCTTAGTTTGTTCATCTGTAAAATAGGAGGAAAGATCCTACCCATCTAGTAAAGTACCCAATAGAGTTGCAGTGGGGCCCAAACTTTGCTGTACACTGAATCACCTGGGTATCTTTGAAGACTATCAGTGCTTACCTCCTGCCCCCAGATATTCTGATTTAATTATTACTGGGTATGACCTGTATATCGGAAGTTTTAAAAGCTCCTACTAGAATAATGGTTAGAAGCCAGGACTGCTGGGTGTGAATCCTGGCTCCACTGCTTAATAACCAAGCAAATCTGCGCAAGTGCCTGGACCTCTCCAGGCCCCAGTTTCCTGGGAATAACAAGGATTTACTGTGGGGCTTCAACGAGATACTAGATGAAAGCACTTGAGAAGTATACCTGGCACATAGTGCTCGATCAATCATAGTTGCTGTTGAACTATTATTTTATGCACTTTGTAAATGGCTCTCGTGGGGTTCAAATGTGAGGGAGGCTTCTCTTATCATGAAAGTCCCTCATTCACTGCCATGATTCTAATATTCTCTGCTGCCAGCATTTCAAAATTCCAGGGTTTCTAACATTTTAAGAGTTCCTCACTTCAGTCTCTACCTGCCCGATGGACATGCTTTTACAGATGTGGAAGTGGAGGCCAGGGAGAAGGGACTTGGTCAAGGTTATGGGGCTGAGATTGGAATCCAGGCTTCTGACCCCCAGCCCCACCCCAGCGCGGTGGGTGGCTGCCCTGCTGACCCTACAAGCACAGTGCTCCCATTATGTGCCTGGAGCAGAGAATGGGGAGGAGACAGACAGGCTTGCCCTTGTTTGTTTACTCACACTCCTTTAAACATTTCCTTGGTGGCTCCCCCAGGGACGACAGGGGCGGGGGCTTTTCTCTGAGGAGCTGCTGTGGAGCAGCTGATGAGACCCGTGTGTCCTTTGGCTCCTCTGACAGGTTCCGCCTGACTCTGCCCTGGAAAGTCCTTTTGAGGAAATGGCCCTGGTGAGGGGCGGCTGGCTGTGGAGACAGAGTGAGTGACCCTGGGCCAAGCCCTCATCTGTCCTGCACCTTGTCCAGGGGCAGGGATGAGGAAAGTGGCCTGTTGGACCTGCACAGTGAACCCTTCTCCCAAGAAATCATGCCCTTTTTATCCTCCCCTCCTTTGTCCATACTCTTGCCTCTGCCCGGAATGTCCTTCACATTCCTGACTGCTTGGTAAACTACTTATTCTTCAAAACACAGCTCAGATGTCCCCTTCTGTGAGGAGCCTTCTCTGCCTTTTCTCTCCTCACCACCCCAGCCCCTGCTGTAGCACCAAGCTGGGTTAGTGGCCCCCTTCTTCGTTCCCAGTGCCTCATACATACCCGTTATAGCCCTGATAAATACATAACCATCTTTACCTGAGGGCCTCACCACTCCCCCACCTCATACTGGCTCCAGACTGTGAGCGCCTCAAGTGCAGGGACTGGGTTTAATTCTCTGTGTGTCCATAGCACCCATACCCAGGGCTGGCCACAGAACAAGGCGCAGAACAAAATGAAAAATGCCTCTGTGCTTTGGAATTTGTAAAGCTCTAGGAAGATCTCTTATGTCTTTACCCTTTTCTGTAAAGTTTTCCAGTCACAAAATGTCTAAAGCTAGGGCTCAGACTCACCTCTGACCAGAGTCATGATCTGAATCAGAGCTGTCCCGGGCTAGGAGCTCCCCACACCCTATGACCCGTACTCACTTCATTCAGTTCAGCAAACACTGAGTCCAGGTCCTGCTGGGTGCCGGGACAGGTGAGGTGAGCTGTGGCCAATCCCTCTGCTCCCCATTTGGTGGAAGAGGCAGACACTACACAAATGACTGTCACCTGGGGCTTGGCCTTTTTTTTCAAGTATGCTCACAATTATAAGCAATAATTGTACACCCCTCAGCAGAATGTATGCAATGGAAACTAAGGGTTTCCTTAAGGCAAGCACTTGATGACTTGTTGTTTTGTTAATTCTTGCATAAATCATATTCTGCATTCATACAAAAACAACTTAATGCTTTTTCTCTGACAAACTGTACATATAGAAACAAATGTTCAATTGGACATGAATTTAAATTTGTGGAGGTGCTCCATGTCTTGTGACACTTAAAAAAAAAAAAAAAAAAAAAAAATTTCCAGCTTCCCCCAAGAAAGAATCTGATCATTCATTTACCATTCAGCACAAAAAAAAAAAAAAAAAAAAAAGATTTCCAGCTTCCCCCAAGGAAAGAATCTGATCATTCATTTACCATTCAGCACATTTATGGAGCCCTGACTATGTGTTAGGCCCAGTGGGAGGCAATGGGTGAGCAAGACAGAGAGAGGCCCTGCCATCATTTCAGGGAGTAGACGGGCAAGGACGGGGTGGTTATAACACTGGGGGCCGGGGGTAAGGGGACTCTGGGAACCTACCCAGGGCTCCTGGCCCCCAGCAGGCTCTGTGATCAGCCTGCCTGGCGGGTCTGGAATATCGCACAGGCTCCATCCTCCGCCGCTGGAAGCGGAATTGGTTCGCCCTGTGGCTGGATGGAACCCTGGGCTACTACCACGATGAGACTGCGCAGGATGAGGAGGACCGCGTGCTCATCCGCTTCAACGTCCGAGACATAAAGATAGGCCAAGAGTGCCACGGTGAGCAGAGCCCCTTTCTCTCTGGCACTGTGACTATGGCCACGGGCCCCACACTGTGTCTGTCTGAGAACACCTGCTCTTCTCAGGTGGAAGGCTCTTTGTGGCTTTCAGAGGCCTTCCATAGACATTGCTTCTGGGCCCCTGTCACCTCCAATTCATGTGGGTGTGAATTAAGAAATCAGTTCCTTATTGAGTTCCTACTCTGTGCTGGACACAGAGTGCTGGCCCTATGCAGGGTTCACAGAGGTGAGTCAGACACAGTTCCTGCCCTCTCCCGTGCTAGGAATGGAAAAAGATGAAATGAAATAAGGAGGCTCAGAGAAATTAAGTGACTGGCCCAAAGTCACACAGCAAATCTCCTTGATCAAGGCTCAGGCCATAATTATACAGGGAAACTGGGAGATAGATATACCTAACTAGAGAAGTAGGCAATGTGGAAAGGTGGAAGGGTCTAAAGAGTTGAGCAGAATCCTAAGGAAAGTGTGTGGGATCAGATGAGGTTGGCAGTGGCCAATACTCAAAGAAGTCATTTCCTATTCTTGTTTCTGGTTTACTGGGGAAACCTGGGGCCTGTGCCCTGTGGAAACCCCATATATGTGTGTCTGCCTTTAGATGTGCAGCCCCCAGAGGGCAGGAGCCGAGATGGCCTGCTGATCGTGAACCTACGAGAGGGCGGCCGCCTGCACCTGTGTGCAGAGACCCAGGATGATGCCATGTGAGTGGTTCCCAGGAGAGGATGGGGTGGGATCTTGGGGAATATGACCAGACGCCTCCTCCTCATTGGGCCTCTAGTTCCCTAAAGGTAGGAAAAGGGGACAAAGATCAGTGAGCATGGTAGTCTCAGTGGAGGCTGGGCAGAGTGGATTTGAATGGCTCATGGTGATTGGTATGGTATCCAGGAAACTGATATGGTTAGGGATGAATTCAGGGCTGTTGGGGGAGGGGTGTGCATACCTACCTCAGGTGTGTGGTCCCTGGTCACTCAGAGTTGGGCATCTAGCAGCCTCTGAGGTGAGCCCTCGCTTGGGGGTGATACAAAGGAACAGACAGCCCCATGGCATCCTCAGAGACCCTCCTTCTCACTCCCTTCCTAGAAGATGGCCTGGGGCAGGGGGTACTCTGATCTGAGGGATAGACCCTAACCTGCCTAACAGAAGCAGCCCGTGGGCCCCCCGTGTGAGATGCAGATCCACACTGAGAGACTGGGCGTGTCTTCCTCACTCACATTCTTGCCCTTCCCACACTCTGGTGGAGAGTCAGTTGGCCTTTGTGCTACAGGAGAGTGAAAGAGATGGGATGTGTGGGAGTGGGGGAGGCTGAGCTCGGGGTAGACAAAGCACAGAGCCGCCTTGTCCACCCCAGCCAGGTGCCATGGCAACCAACAAAGGCTCAATTGTCCGGTGTCCACTGGGTGTTCCCGGGGCTCTGGGGTCAGAGCATTGGGGAACTGAGTTTGTAGGTTTGGGATGTGGAGGTGGGCTGCAGCCAGAGAACCAGCCTAGGCATGTCAGAATCTGAACTCCTAAGGGACCACCCAAGCCCAGCTGTCTTTTGTCTAGATGGGGAAACCGGAATTTCTAGAGGGAAAGAGACTATGGACTAAGAATGCATTAGGAGGCTGCAGCTCAACTGAGGGCTTGTCTATGTGACTGGAGCAGCAGAGGGGGTCACCTTTGTCTACCCAAGGGAGTCAAGAGGATCTCCCCCTTCACAAGAGACTAGGGCTAGAGGCTGGGTTGGGGAGGAAAGTCTAAAATGTGGGGCCTAATCTCCTTTCTCCTGAACTCCCTCCTCATGGTCTGGTGGGTTTGCATTGCAGAGCATGGAAGACGGCACTGCTGGAGGCGAACTCCACCCCGGTGAGCCCCCTTCCCTCCCTGGCTCCTCCCCACCCCTACCTGCCATGGAATCATGGGTGACTCAGATTCGGTCTCTGCCAGCCAGCAGTTCTCAATTTCCATATATGTGAGTGACTGAGTCCCGAGTGGAAAAGGACAGAAGACATCCAACTGGTGCTTGGAGGAGGGAGAGAGAGGCCTCCAAGAAGGCTTGTTGAAGCGGGTGGCATGTGAGCAGGGGGAAAGGAACTATCTTTTATCCAGCAACTATTATGTGTCAGGTGTGATATAGTTACAATACCAGCTACTCCCCTCAACCGTCCTGTGAGGTTGGGATGATTGTTCTCTCTCTGCAGATGATAAGATTGAGTTTTATTCATCCACACAACAAATATTTACTGAGCTCCTACTATGTGCCAGGCACTGTGCCAAGGACCAGGGATCAGAGGGTAGCTAAGGAGATGTGGGCCCTGCCTTCCTGGATTCAGCCTAATGGGGAGCTAGACGTGAAGTCACAAATTACAGAGTTAGTGATTCCATTGCAGTGCATTCAATGTGTATCCACCTTGATGGCCTGATCCAGGTGGGAGTTCAGACAAGGCTTAAGATGAGACCTGAAGGATAACAGAAATCAACTGGGTGAAAGGGCTGGGGTGGGGTGAAGGAAAGAGCTTTCCAGGCAGAGGGAACTGCAGGTGCAAAGGCCCTGAGAGGGGTTATGATGCTGGCAAGTTGAAGAAAAGAAGGAAGGCTTGGGTGGCTGGATCTCAGGGAGAGAGAGAGCCATGGGGGAAGGAGGGTTAGCAGAGCCCGGCATTAAAAGCTCTGTTAAGGATAGTGGTTTCAGCTAAGAACACTGGGAAGTCATTGAAAGTTTTTAAGCAGAGGAACGGCATGAGCAGATCAGACCAGACTTGTAGTTTTAAAAAGATAGTCTGGCTGGTAGGTAGGGAATGGATTGTAGAGGGTAAGAGTGGATGCCCGGAGACCTGTCAGAAAGCTGGGACAGTGTGCAGGTGACCGCCTGTGGGTCTGGACTAAGGCCTTGCTGGCAGAGATAAGCTGATGAGGATAAGACACACTTAAGAGGTAGAATCAACAGAACTTAGTGATTGATGGAGGTATGGTTTTGAGGAGCTGCCCAAAGGCGTGGTTTTGAGGAGCTCAGGTGGCCAAGCTTGGCCTCAACCCCCATCTGCCTGACCCCAGATTCTGTGCTTGCTCCTTCTACCTGTGGCACAGTGGAGCTCCTTCTCATCTAGAAAAAAACAGTCCGCTGGGAAGTAGCAGGGAAGACTGGGATGCATTTAGAAACTCCCTCAGGCATTCACCTGCAGAGGACCAGGCATTGTGCTTGACCACCCGGTATTGGTTGTATCATTTAATCTTCAATAAGAAGGGGTAGGGGTTGGTATTTTTAGTCCCATTTTATAGCTGGGGAGCTAAGGTTCAGAGGGAAATTGACTTGTCCAAAGTCTCATCGTCTTAAGTCAGTGGAAGAGCCTGCACTGGAACCTAGGTCAGTGAGACTTTGAGGGAAGGGCATTAACTGCAGTAGGAGCTACATGAGCAGAGGTGGGGAGGTGGTACGTGCAAGTGTGTATATGCACACATGTGTGTCTAAAGGCCAGGAGCCTGGCCTGGCTGGAGGGTAAGGTGTGGAGGGAAAGCAATAGGAGACATGACCTCTGAGGAGCCATGTCACAAACGGCCTTGAAGTCCAGGTGAAGGAACTGAACTTTATCCTGAGGGTTGTGGGGAGCAATAAAGGGCATTAAGCAGGGGGGCTGTGGTCAGGCTTTGGAGCAGACTCAGGCTTCTGGGTGGAGGCTGTGTAAGAGGAGGCTGGGGCGGTGGTCAGCAGGGTGGAGGGACATGGCTCTGAGCTCCAAACCCACTTATGCAGGGCAGATCAGTCCCACCCAAGAGGGGCAGGAGGAAGGAGGTGAGGGCTGACCGTTCTGCACTCTGTGACTCTATGAAGCTGCCTTGTGTCTTCTCTGCCTATCCACCTTCCTGCTGCTCTGCTTCCTAAATCTCTCTACTCTGACCCTCCACTCCACCTTCCCCTGCTCTACACACACATATGCACACACGCACACACGTGCACACACATGCGCACATCCCTCTGGTCCCTAGGCTTGCTCGAACTGGGTGTGTTTGTACCTCTGTCTTTGTACTAGTGTCTGCCCATCTCTTAGTGTCCATGCCTGTGTCTGTCTGTCCTGTGCCTAATAGGAGTGACCTGTGCTTTGTCCCTCCACATCCTGCAGGTTTATAACCCACTCTGGGTGGAGGCTCCAGGAGGAGCCCCTGACCCTGGCTGTTTCAGGGAACACCGGGCCCGGGGCACAGTCAGGGGCAAGGCTGTGGGGCCAGTGCTGGGTGCAGGTGGGTGGGCAGGCAGATCAGAGCTGTACTGTCCTCCCTGGAGACTGGGAGCCTCAGCAGCCTGAAACAGGCGAAGGTGGGCTAATTCTGGAGAGACACTACTGATCCGTCTTCTCTGTGTAACTTCAGCAAAATCACCACCCCTTCTGAGCTTCCCACCATTACCATGGGCTGAGGAAGAGGAGGATACCCGCTTCCCTTGCCCAGCTGGCAGAGGGCTCTGCTAGGGCCTGTGAAGAGCTCCGAGTCTCTCCAGATGTAGAGGGCCTCTGACACCCCCCTCCCTCCCCTTCTTGGGTTTCTGTGGCTTAAGCAGGCCCCAGCTGGAGCCACCGTCCCTCCCAGGAGCCGCCGGGTTTGCCCCAAGGTCAGGTGTGTGACCCGCTCGTGGAGCCCCTGTAAGTTTGAGAGGCGGATCTGGGTAAGTGCTGGCTCAGCCCTCCCGGCCTCCATTCTGGCACCAGGATGTGCCTCCAGCAGTGGGCCCAGTCACATCCCTTCCCTGCTCACAAACATTCCATGGCTCCCGATCGTTCATAGGACACCAACCACAGCCCTGCTTTCAAGGCCTTCGGAATCTGGTCTGGGCCAGACTTGCCCACCTCATCCCCCTCATCCCCTGCGCTCCAACTGCTCTGCTCAACCCCCTGCTCCCAGCTATGCCCGACCTTTTCTGTCTCTCCAGCCTTTGCATGTGCTGCTCCATCTGCTGCAAAGACCCTTAATTTCCTTACTCACCTGACAAAATGATGCTTATCCTCTAAGATGCACCTCAAAGGCTGCCACCTCCTCAGGGAGGACTTCCCAGACCTCCACGCATTGTTGCTCCCTTCCACAACCCACTGCATTAGTGCTTAGTTCTGTCTTCATTCTGCCTGATTTCTAGTTCCTTTATTTTTGTCTCTATTCTCCCAGGAGACCTGGAACTTCCTTCAAGGCAAGGATCAGGTTAGGTCAGCTCTGCCCCTGTGGAACCTGGCACAGTGCTGGGTATACAGCCAGTGCACAATGAATGCTCAGTGATGGGGACAGTGGAGAGTGATATGTGAGTTGAGTCTAAAAGGTTAGGTAGTTGAATGAAAAAAGATGAGAAAGGAATCCCTTTCAAAGGGAAATGGCATGGATACTTGAAATCACAGGTGTGCTTGGAGGATTCCACTTTACAGCCAGACTCCGTAAAAGAAACGTCATGACACATGCTGATTCCATCCCTCTTCTTTCAACCATTCTTCAGTCCTCCATAGTCTGGCTTCTTCCTCCAACCACTCCTCTGAAAAGTGTTTTCAAAGTCGCCCACAATTTCCAGGAAACCAATGGCTTATTCTCTTGGCACTGGGCAAGAGGATGGACAGAAGAGCATATTCAGAAGATAAAATCATGAGATCTGGTGGCTAATATGATGTGGAAGATGTGTGTGAAGACAGCGGTGCCAACCTGATGTCTTGGTTTGAGTGCATGGTGGTGGCGTTTAGAGGAAAGCATTCACAGAAGAGCAGACTTGGGGGGATCGAAGGATGATGAAATTACTTTGAGATGGTTTAAGTCTGGACGCCTGGACTTTTAAGGGACCACCTGGACCATTTAGGTGTTAAGCTCAGTTAGAGATGTAAGGTGCAAGGGGGCTAAGAATTCTGTTCCAAGTCTGTTCCCCATGGGTAAAATGAGGGTCTTGGATTAAGAGCTTCCATTTAATTCAGCATATATTTATTAGTCCTTGCTATTCCCTAGGCCCTGCTGGCAACACAAATGAATCAAAGCCCTTGCCAATAGGCAGCTCACATTCAGGGTGCAGGCAGGAAAGGCCAGGAGGAAGGCTAGGAACAAGAGGCACAAGCATAGTCCACAGAGAACTCAGGAAGAAAGGATTCTTTCTGAGGCCAGAAGGGCTTCCTGGAGTGGGTGACTTTTGAATTAGGCTTTGAGGGGTTGGTAAAAATCTAATGGGAGAGGGAAGAGGGCAGACAGTCTATTCCTCCCTCCCAGAGAGAACACTGACCATTTGTCTCTGAGCCTCCATCCCCAGCTGTGTGGTAGAGTGAATAATGCCTGCTGTAAGGATGAGAGGAAGTAACACATGTCAGCATCTCCCTTAGGACCTGGAACATGGTGGATGCTTAATAATACTTTAGTTACTTCCCACCTCTACCTTTCCTTTCCCTTCCTTCCTCCACAACCCCCTTTTATTTCCTGGCCAAAGCCCAGGCCCCCCTCTCCATAACCAGGAGAGTAGAGAAGTCCACTGGGTTTCTCCAAGTGTCATCACTGGAGAGCTGCTAGCAAATATTAGACTATCTATCAAAGGAAGTAGGGAGCCATGGAGAATTTTTGATCAGGGGAGTGCCAGGTAGGAAGCCAGGGCAGGAAAATGGCATCGCTGGGAGCTGGATGGAGGGGCTGAAGTATTAGAGGACAAGGGCCTTGTGGGGAGGCAGGGTCTTTCTTCAGGAGCTTGCTGGTATCTGGGGACCCATTTGTAAACTTGGTGTGGTGGCTCTGTGGGCCCAGAAGGGCCTGAACCAGGTGTGGGGGGGAGGGGACAAAAGCCGGGCCCAGCTCTCCGGCAGCTGACCAGGCAGGGCTCCCCAGGTGCGCATCTACAGCCCGTACCAGGACTACTATGGGGTGGTGCCCCCCAACGCTCACGAGGCCACATATGTCCGCAGCTACTATGGACCAACCTATGGTAAGTCTCCAGCCCACCCCTCCCCCTGCCTCAATTCCCGCCCCTGGTCTATCAGTAGGGGCCAGGCCCCACCCTTTTAGTGACCATGGATTTCCCCAGGTGGGACCCTCCTCAAGGCCCCCTCCCCATCCCATGACTGAGAACGGTTCTTGAACCAGAGCCCCTCCCCACTCCAGAGCTGACCTCTTCTCTAGGCCGGCCCCTATTCCCTGGCTGCCGAGCAATACCCATTCTTGAGCTGGTAGCGACCCCTGGTGGCTAATTCGGGAAAGGCTACCTCCTCTCACTCCAGGGTCTAGCGGTTGGGAAGGCCCATCCATCATCAGGTGCAGTCTGGAGTTTCTTAGAGACCCCGGGGTTTCCTCGCCAGTCCAACCTAGCCCCACGGTCCCAGAACGTCCGTAGCAGATCCAGGGCATAGAAGCCGTGGGAACAGAGCGCGCGTCCTTCCCGCATCAAGCCCTCAGTTTCTCCGACTGGGGAGCAGGAGAGTGGGCTCAGCGCCTTATCTTGGTTTGGGCTGGAGTCTAGCAGAAGGAGGCGGATGATCTCTTTGCTCCCTCCTCTTAAGTCCCTGGTCCTCACGGGCTCTCTCTCCACAGGCCCCGGCGTGACGCACGTAGTGGTCCGGGAGGATCCTTGCTACAGCGCGGGTGCCCCCCTGGCCATGAGCATGCTTGCGGGAGCCGCCACAGGTGCAGCACTCGGCTCGCTCATGTGGTCGCCCTGCTGGTTCTGAGCCCTGGACCCTGCGCGTAGACCAGAAACACCCTTTCCTGCTTGGTCCCACCCTCCACCATCCAAACCCTGTCCCACTTGGCCCCTTAGTTTCCATTAGCCCCTTCTGGGCTCGGATCGTTCCTCCCACTCCCCACCCTCACCCTGCACATCAGAAGAAGCTATCATCCCAGGCACAAACATAGCTCAAATTTCTTTTATCTACTGCTAGACACCCCAGAAATCCGTTATAGACACATATGGGTATGTTTCCCCCAAACACGCCAGGACACAGAAAATGCAACTCATGGGTCTTCAAGTTGCCCAGGCACTGGAGACACAGGAATCAGGTTCTTTCCCCTGGCAGCTCCAAGCTTGGTGGGGCAGACTGGAGTAAACAAACACTTTACAAGGTGGAGTTATCAGTCTTTTGACAGTATGATGGCAAAAAGTGAGGAAGGTAGGCTAGGAGTAAAGTTGTTGGCAAGAGTGCAGAGCCGTGAACATAATGGCACATCCAAAGAATGGAATGGGAGTTCATTTGGGCTGGGGTGTGGGCAGGGGTCAGATCATGACGGCCCTCCAGGCTAAGGAGGTTGCTGGCTAAGGGGGAGGTGTGAGCTTTTTGGAGGGAAGTTTCATGATTGCACCATAATGAATATATTGCCTGTTTTAATTCCCAAACCCAAAACACTCCCCGAGTTTAGCCTCATCCTTCCCAGCTACCAGATTTCTGGATCCTTTGCTCCTTCAGTGTTCAGAAAGCACCTGTTTTCCATGTCAAGGTGCCTGGGGCAGCAATTGAGATGAACCTGGGGTCCTCTTCCTGGGGGGCAGGTGAGCTCTCTTTGTGACTCGACCTAGGTTGGTGCTTCCATCAAGAAATGAATTTCTATTCCCCAAAAGCTTGGCCCTCTATCCACAGCTGTAGCTATCAGCATCTCAGGCTTTGTCTCTTCCTTCACTCTTGGGGAGATGGCAGTGTTCACCTCTGGGACCTGGTCCACCTTTGTCTCAGTCCTGAAGGCCCCACATGTGCCTCCCTGCAGGTGGCCCAGCAGTCTCCCCATTTGGTCCCCTTCTAGTCTCCTCCCCCATCCTGTCCCAATCACTAGTAGAAATGCTAACATCCCTGCCCAGTAGCCAGAGTAGCCTGCTAAATTTCCCTTGTAGATAGGGGCTCCAGTTGCCCTACTGCAGAGACTAATAAAGGTGTGGTTGGCTCTAGCCCTGACTCTGGCTTTGTTTGTTCCCCCAGGGGGGCCCTGTTTCCCTGGAACACCTCTATGACTCAGCACCTACTAGTGCCTTCTCTGGTATAGTGAGAAGAGTATGGATTCTGGGGTCAGGTAGAATTGGTGGCAGCATGTTAGCTGAGCAATTCAGGGCAAGTCACTTAACATTTCTGTATCTTGCTTTCCCCACCCATAAGCTGGCAGGTTGAAGTTGGCTGTCCCTGAGGGCTTGAGAGGAGAGGCTGCATCAGAATCTCTGTTATCTGAGCTGATGGATGATCCAGGTTATGCCCTGCCTGCTTTCTGAGAGCCCTGTGGTATTGGGTGGGGTCTTTTCCAGTAGGTTCCCATCCTTCTAGAGTTGAATCAATGAGTTGGACTCATAGAGACAAAGGTGGCCAGGGAAGGAAACAACCATCTTACTTCAGGCCTTTTGAGGCTGCAAGTAACAGGAACCCCCATGCTCAAACTGATTTAATCCCAAGAAGGGAAAATATTGGGCCACATACCTGAGAAGTCCAGAAACTGCTTGATCCAGGGACTCAAATATTATCACTTAGACTTTGCTTTGTTTCCATCTTTACAGCCACTGGGCTGGCTCAGAGGTTGCAGTGATATTCAGCAGCTCTAGACTAATGCTCTCCTTGGTTCAAGTCTAGCCAAGAGAGCCCCTCTTCCTCCAACAGTATGAATAAAAGTCCTGGCATGAACTTTTATTCAAACTGTTGCACATTAGCCTGAATTGGGTCTTGTGGCCATCTCTGAATCTACTGTGATCTGGAAAAGATGGTCTAAAATAACAGAGCTTAGAGCAGGGGTGGGGTAGTGTCCCAAAAGGAATTAAGGGCACTGTTCCCAGAAGTAGGATGACTAGGTGAGAGCTGGGTGGCAAAAATATCAGGTATCCACCTCAGCCACATTCCCAGACACCAAATTAGAGGGATACATAAACAAAAAGCAATGATTCAGTGAAGTTCGATAGGAACATTGTGCAGTGGGAGCTCTGAGGAAGAGGTATCCAACTGTGCCAAGGGGACTGAGGAAAGCTTTGGGACAGGAAGTGAAAATTTAGGGTGAGCCTTGAAGGATGAGTAGGAGTTTGTCAAACAGAGAAAGGAGAAAGAACAGATGGAAGAAATGGCATGAACAAAGGCCTAAAAACATTTTGGTCTTGAGAGCACTGTGAAGTTCGGGAAACAGTCTGATGTCACAGCAAGTTGCATGGTGAGGAGTGGTAGTGGATGGACCAGTTTATAGAGAACCTCCCACAGCTGGGTTAAGGGCTCTTTTCTCTGGGCATCTATGGTCTTAGGGCTACATTTATCATGGTCCTGATGATACCATGGTTATTTCTACTCACCCCACCAAACAGGGCAAGAAAGATGCAAATGGATGCTCCAGGTGCAGTTTGCTTCAAAATCTCTCCACTGATGGTTGTAGCATGAATTTTTTATCTTCCAGCTGTTCACTAGACAATTATTAAATTATTCACACACATGTTAAGACAAACATTCTCACAGACAACACAGTTTAATCTGGAGGTGGCCTATGGACCACATCTGGCCCACATATTGTTTTGTCTGGTCAGCACAGTGGTTTTTAAAAGTTTTTAATTAAAATGTGATATCACTACACACCCAACTAAATGGCTAAAGATAAAATAGATAACATTAAGTACTGATGTGAAACAACTAGAAATCTCGTTTAAGGGTAAACTGGTACAACTGCTTTGGAAACTGATCAGTTAACTCACACATATGCATACCTCTTAACCCATCAATTCTACTCCTAGGTACCCTCAACAAAAATGGGTACATATGTTCACCCCAAAAATAATAGGTACAAGAGTGTGAATAGGTGGATCCATTGATAATTCAGTGAGAATTAATTATCCATTAAGGATATACAAAATCATGAGTGAATCAAAAAAATTGCTGAGAGGACAAGGGGAGTGGGGGGAAGTGGGAAAATAGAGTTACACTATGACAAGTTTCCTTTTCCTTATGTGAAGTGTACAATATTAAGTATATGCTAATAAGTCAAAGATGCACATTAGAATTCCTAGAGCAACCAATGAAAATATAAAGAGGTTAAGCTAAAAAAGCCAGTAAAGGAGGGACTTTCCTAGCGGTCCAGTGTGTAAGACTCCAAGCTCCCAATGCAGGGGGCCTGGGTTCGATCCCTGGTCGGGGAACTAGATCCCGCAGGCATGCTGCAATTAAGAGTTCTCATGCCACAAATAAGAGTCCTCATGCCGCAACTAGAGTCCGCATGCCGCAACTAAGAGTCTGCATGCCAAAAGTAAAAAGATCCCACGTGCCACAGCTAAGACCTGGCACGGCCAAATAAGTAAATATTTCTAAAAAAGTAAATAAATAAGCCAATAAAGGAATTTAAAAACAGATGAAGCAAAGAAAACAAACACCAAAATGGCAGACCTATATCCAAACATACTAATTATTACATTAATGGTAAGTAGACAAAAAGCATAAATTAAGAGACAGAGATTGTCAGAATAAACAAACAAGCAAGACCCAACTATATAACTTTATACAAAAGATACACTTTAAAATGTGCAAGTAGGTTGAAAGTAGAAGAACAGAAAAAGATATGCCAGGGAATTCCCTGGCAGTCCAGTGGTTAGGACTCAGCATTTTCACTGCCAGGGCCTGGGTTTGATCCCTGGTTGGGGAATTAAGATCCCGCAAGTTGTGTGGCATGGCCGGGAAAAAAATAAAGAAAGAGAGAAAGAAAGAAAGGAAGAAAGAGAGAAAGAGAGAGAGAGAGAGAGAGAGAGAGAGAGAAAGAAAGAAAGAAAGAAAAAGATATGCCACATAAAGAGTAAGCATCAGGGACTTCCCTGGCACAGTGGTTAAGAATCCGCCTGCCAATGCAGGGGACACAGGTTCGAGCCCTGGTCCAGGAAGACCCCATATGCCGCGACGCAACTAAGCCCATGTGCCACAACTACTGAGCCTGTGCTCTAGAGCTCGCGAGCCACAACTACTGGGCCTGCGTGCTACAACTACTGAAGCCCACGTGCCCAGAGCCCATGCTCCGCAACAAGAGAAGCCACCACAATGAGAAGCCTGCGCTGCAACGAAGAGTAGCCCCCATTCACTGCAACTAGAGCAACAAAGACCCAATGGAGCCAAAAAAAAACTACAATGAGATATTACCTCACACCAGTCAGAATGACTATCATCAAAAAATCCACAAACAGGTACTTCCCTGGTGGTCCAGTGGTTAAGACTCCGTGCTTCTAATGCAGGTGGCATGGGTTTGAACTAGGATCCCACATGCTGTGAGGCTTAAAAAAATAAAAAAGATCCACAAACAATAAATGCTGTAGGGCTTCCCTGGTGGTGCAGTGGTTGAGAGTCCGCCTGCCGATGCAGAGGACACGGGTTCGTGCCCTGGTCTGGGAAGATCCCACATGCCGCAGAGCGGCTGGGCCCGTGAGCCATGGCCACTGAGCCTGCGCGTCCGGAGCCTGTGCTCTGCAACGGGAGAGGCCACAACAGTGAGAGGCCCGCATACCGCAAAATAAATAAATAAATAAATAAAATTTAAATGCTGTAGAGGGTGTGGAAAGAAGGGAACCCTCCTACACTGTTGGTGGGAATGTAAATTGGTACAGCCACTATGGAAAACAGTATGGACGTTCCTTAAGAAACTAAAACTAGAGCTACCACATGATCCTGCAATACCACTCTTGGGCATATACCCGGAGAAAAACATGGTCCCAAAGAATACATGGACCCCAATGTTCATTGCAGTGCTGTTT